GGATCCAAGGCATTACCAAAACATGGATCTCTAGCTTCCTCAGCGACCGATACCAGGCAGTAGTGGTAGATCGGAAAACCTCCTCCTTTGTCGGTGTTAAGTCAGGGGTCCCCCAGGGCTAGGCCCTTGTTTGTTCCTAGCATATATCAATGATCTGCCCGAGAAGCTGACCTCTCAAATAAGACTTTTTGCAGACGACGCGGCGGTATATAGGACAATCGTCAACAGCTCTGATCAGAGCCAGCTTCAACAAGACCTCAATCGGTTATCTGAGTGGGAGATGAGCTGGGACATGGAATTTCATCCCGTCAAGTGCCAGACTCTGTCAGTCTTCAGAAGCAGATCCCCTCTAAACCACTCTTACGAACTGCATGCCCATATTCTTGAGCCAGTTTCCTCCGTAAAGTACCTGGGTGTTACCATTCAAAGAGAGGTCCGCTGGGACGAGCACATTAACAGTGTGTGCAACCGGGCAAACAAGACCCTGGGGTTCCTAAGGCGCAATCTGAAGATCGGCAACTCAAGGGTGAAAGAAAAAGCCTATAAATCCTTTGTCAAGCATATTTTAGAGTACGCTTGTACAGTCTGGGACCCATTTACCCAGAAAAGCATCGACAGGTTGGAGGCGGTCCAGCGACGGGCAGCACGCTTTGTCATGAACCGCTACAGAAACACCTCAAGTGTTGGCAGCATGCTGGAAACACTGGGTTGGTCGACATTGGAAGAACGACGACGACTATCCAGGCTCACCATGTTTTACAAGATAACAAATGGGCTGGTCCACTGCTCCGGAATCAAACAGAAACTCGTTCATCTTCCCCCTAGACAGTGACGAGGCCACGACAAACAGTTCCGGCTGGTAAAAACAAGAACAAAGTACAGGAGCGCCTCATTCCTGCCGAAGACAATAGGGGACTGGAACAAGCTTCCAAAAGCAACAGTTGAGGCGCCTACACTGGACACATTTGTGTCTATTGCCTCCTGTATTGCAACTCCCAGTTCATAACACCACTGCTGAGTCGCCCTTGCAACCAGTGAAGTATCCCCTTAAAACCCATGCACGGTAACATCGCAAACCCCTCTGAAACATAGGAGCCAGAACGATCAATTCATTGATCGTGGGCCCTCAAAATCAAGAAGAAGAAGAAGATGTCTGAACGTCCACCATGACCAATACTTAAAACATTATTGCGAATTGTGCACTGGACTTCACTTTCATAGCGTCCCTTTTTTATATAGTTCCACTTTTTGGAATACTCCTCCATAAACTTACATTGTCGCTTGGGCATAATTGTTGTCTACATGAGAAGATAATATAAGATTAAAGAATAAAGTTCAACACCCAAAACAAACACCTGTCACTCTGACATGAACAGGCCGGCAGGGATCTATTAAATACTATTACAATTTAGATCAATTTTTGTTTAGGCTGAGCCACTTCTCTGCAGCGACCACTCACCCAATCAATCAACGTCAAAGGTTACCTTCGACCCACAACATGATTCGACACAAACCGGAAGTGAGAAAGTGCCACACACGCCATTTTAGCATGGTTCCTCCAACTGCCCACATCTAGTAAACGCGCCCCAATTACATTTGTCGTATTTTTAGAAATAACAAAGTTATTGATTCACTTTCCCTCAAGGCAACACAAAAGTCGGTTTAACCCATTTTAACTGTGCTCCTTACAACCAAACATGAAAATAAACGTACGGTTAATAACAATTTGTGGAAGTATATTTGTTTTCGAATTAAAAAAAAAAAATTAGAATACTGTCAAGTCTTATTTCGTTTTTTGTTTTTTTTTTATAAACCTTTGCGTTTCTTATCCTTCGTTGCATTCATAAGCATAGCATGTGATCGAAATTGTCTAAGGCGTTCCAACCATTTAGTTAATAAAACCGTCATATTTAAAATTTATTTTTGCATGTGTCGCTTGAGGAAAGAAGTAGCCGACTTGCCCTAAAAAGATGTATTCGATTTCGTATTTTTGTAAGAACAATAACCGCCCACCTGTGCACCAACAAAAACAAGAGAGGAAATATTTGCTCTACCATTTTTATTTTTTTTTAATGATGAGCTCCCTTTGTTTCCCTTCTGTTTTCCTTACATTAAAAAAATTGTATTCCGAAAGGGACGGAACTGCTGCTGTCTCCGCATGCAAACGCGATGAGGGGAGATCACCCGAAAAATATGTTCCAGGGAGAATGTATGGTTTCTAGGCATGCAGGGGCTGAAATTGAAAAGATTAACGTTGAGACACAGATTAGAGATATGCTTTGACCTGACCAGACTCATTTCCCAGTAGGATCAAAAAACGAGGCTGGTTAAATCCTTGTTTGATCCCAAACATTTCAATTAAAACTTTGCTATCTTTATTACCGAGCACTACTGTTTGTGACAATGACAGAAAGGTAAATTAGCATTACAGTGTGTGACAGTGACAGAAGGGGTAAAATTAGCATTACTGTGTGTGACAGTGACAGAAGGGTAAAATTAGCATTAATGTGTGTGACAGAAGGGTAAAATTAGCATTAATGTGTGTGACAGTAATGTAAATTGGCATCATTGTACAGTAAGTGACATTAGGGTAAATTATCATTATTGTATGTGACAGTAAGGAAAATTAGTATTACTGTGTGACAGTGGGATAAATTAGCATTAACAGTTGTGACAGACAGAAGAGTTAATTGGACAATCCTATTTACTATGATGAAACATCAGCTGGGGCTGATATTTGTCCATGGGATATCTAAGATTACAAGGAGGAGTTCGCATCAGCTGACCGCCTTGCCCCTAGGGACAGACTTGGAATAGTCCTAGTTTTATTTTTGATTTAAAAAATTGAAAGATTGCTTATTTAGTTTAGAAGTGCGCTTTTTAAAAAAAAATGGCCGCTGTGGTTCTGCAACTAAAATAATGCAATCATTTAACTTTAAACAAAAAAATTGTATATGAGAAATATAAATATTGAATACCCTGTTCGCATGCACCTAAGTAAGACACTCATCTGGATTCAAAATACCATTTACTGTTAGAGTTCTCAAAAGTCACTATTTGTTACAGTTTGAGAACATCTGTGTTCACGAAATAGGCTAATGCTGTAAAATATCTATTTTCTGATTCACGATAAACCTGATAATTTTATGTTAGGGCATCAAATTAAATATCTGTACGGTATAAATTATTTTTACATGAGAATATTATGGGCCTCTTGTTTCCTTTCTCACATAGAAAAATGTGGGGAAGGGAGACAATCTGATTGACAAAATTGTCTTTCTTGAGTTACACATCCATTTCTTAACACTTTGATGCATTCCTAAAAAAAAAGTAAAAATTAAGACATATACCAAGTTGACAGTTGGTCTAATGTGTTGAAAAGAAAATGTATTGCATTTTAGAATAAACTGGTGCAATTTAATTTGAGCTTTGTATTCAAATTAAAACATTACAGATGTGAGTGAAAGATCTCCTGCGTCTTGACTGTGAAATATCTCCTGTGTTCTCTGGAGTCTATTTAAAAAACAGAAACAAAGTTAAGAAATATTAATAACTACAAAGAACAAGTGAACATATAAACATAATCTTATGATTGATATTTATACATGTTTTAAAGTCCTAATCAATATAAATATATTACCAGTCCTCACCAAATGTGTATAAGGTAAAACAAATTTTAATTTCTAGTCTGTGTCTTCATAGCTGTTTTAACATAGATGATCTTGTACATTACATTGCTGTAATCTATTTTTAAGTTTTTAAATTGCACATTAGTGAATGAAAAATGTTTGCTCTTAATATTACAATGTTTGATTGTAATTAATTAAAATGTTTGAATGTAATTAATTAAAATGTTTGAATGTAATTAATTAAAACGTTTGAATGTAATTAATTAAAATGTTTGAATGTAATTAAAAATATAAATGTGCATTTGAAAAATGGAAGATAAAATCTATTTTGTTCTACCACATGCGATTTTGAAGTTCATTAATTGCTTTTAATCTTGATAGAAATACCGCTATAACTATGAAAGGGGAAAAAACCTCATCTTAAGAGCGCTGTCATGTGACACAATACACATTCCTGTTAGCAATTTTGAGAGGATTATCTGAGATTTGATGGAAAGATTAAATTTTCTGGTATTTCACAACCCTCTCATGTTGTTGGCTAGTGACGATCCAAAGGGGAAGAAAATGAAGTCCCCTTTTTTGTTTTAGGATGAACTGTTTGTAGGCATTGAGCCCCGCTCATAAGACAGATACAAATCTAACTTATATTTTAAAGAGACACCTGCACTACCGACCTTGTGTAGGATGCAGGGAGTATCAATGGAAAGCTACTTACTTTAGTTACCAATCCACTATTTTTTTTATTTAAATGACAGAGGAAATTTATTTGAATAACAATATTCATAGACATATAAGATGACTGTAGCAATCAATAGACATATAAGATGACTGTAGAAATCCATACAGCCATTTAAGATGATTATATCAATCCATAGAGACATATAAGATGACTATAGCAACCCATGCAGACATATAAGATGATAATATCAATCCATTAAGACATATAAAATGACTATAAAAATTCATTAAGTGTTATAAGACGCCTTGTTTGTGTGTGTCCTCCCGTCCACTAAAATACAGTATGTGGCCCTACATCAATCTATTAAGACATATAAGATGACTATAGCAATCCATTAAGATGTGTAAGATGACAATAGCAATCCATAGAGACATAAGATGATTATAGCAATCCAGACATATAAGGTGACTATAGCAACCCATAGACATATAAGATAACTTTAGCAACCCCCAAACATATAAGATGACTATAGCAATCCATAGACATAAGATGACTATGGTAATCCATAGACATATAAGATAACTTTCGCAATCCATAAAGACATATAAAATGAATATAGCAATCCATAGACACATCCAGCCAAGCCACACAACAAACAATTTGTTCAAACTAAACAAGGAACAACAGAATCATGTGTTGTGATCCAAGATTTATTTCAGAATCTCTTTTAATGCAAACAGATATATTTCCTCATTGGCTCTCTTCAGTTTGTTTGCCTTCTGCCTCAGACTTTCCAGTTCTTTAGTGCTAAGGACTGGATTATGGGGCATCTGAAGACAAAAGGAAAACTGTCAGTTAAACCTTTGTTCCAATATTGGAAATAGCTTTAATCAGGTCGAGATTTAAGTTATTCCAGTTTTGTTTAAGAAATAACTGTCAATAAAAGACATAATTGTCAATAAAAGACATAACCGTCAATAAAAGACATAACCGTCAATAAAAGACATAACCGTCCATAAAAGACATTTTTAATCCCACAAACCAACTGGTTAAAAGCTAATACTAAATGATCCACCCCAATTTGATGGATATTTCAGAGAGGATCCATGATTAACCAGCTGGGTAATATGACAGCCCGCCACTTGATCCAATATAACTACAATTTATAAAAAAACAAACCTCTGTGCCCTCACTGGATGTACAACTGTCAATGTCGTCCAAAGCAGACAAAGGAGGCAGCTAGAGAAAAAAAAAATTTTTTTTTGTTTGAAACTTGATCTATCTACAGTTTAATTCCTCATTGGAAATAAAACAAAAGTCTTAACTTAATGCCCACTAATTTTGTTGTGCTGCATGTTGCGATGAACACCATCTGAGGATATAACTCTCATGTCTTTGAGAGCTTTTCATACAGCCAAGTGCTCAAACATGTATACTATTACTATGTAATGTAGGACAATATGTCCAGGATCTAGCCCTTTTATCAACACTGGAACAAGTCCTGTGTTAAGATATGGTACAGATACTATTCTTCTGCCTTTGAAAAGGCTACTCAGCACTTCAGATTATGGAAAGATTGCAAAAATCTAAAAAACATAATATTTGCCGTATATAAAAATATGGCTCATTGTCTAAAGTGAGAGCGGCATGAGATTATATTTCTGCTTACTAAAGAAATGAGCAATAGTCAAGTATTGTTGAGACATAAGTCCATTTTATCTTATCCATAGAAGTAAATTATTTTTTTCCAAGCTGCAGTCACGAATTATCTATTCTGGTTATCTCACTCCCAATAATGATGTCGACTCTGGATTGGTGAACACTTGCTAAAATGTTCCTAAAATAATCAATATATGTAACGATCCTTCTGACTGGGCTCAATTCATTCACAACGATCATAATAAACAAATTACCTTCTCTTTAACTCTTATTTCAATAAAGATATCCTCCATATTGTCTTCCCCATCAGTACCATGCAGGTGTCGTTTGAGGTTTCCAACCAACATTCTAGGCTTATGATCAGGATAGACCAGTGCATTGGGAGTTGGTAACACCATCAGATTGCTGACTCTTTCTATCAAAGGTTGAAACAAAGACAACATATTTTAGATTTAAGATCAGGTTAAATCAGTGCATTCGAGCAGCTGAGACATCCTCCGCCCCCATCAACTCGATTGACTGGCCAAGTGGGGGGCAATATCAACGAAGGAGCACCTGGTCTGCTGGTGGTGCTGACCCTACAAAACCAGCAGTCGAATTTCCTAATATCTCTTTCTATCAAAGGTTGAAACAAAGACAATATATTTTAGGTTTATGATCAAGATAAACCAGTGCATTAGGATTGGGTAACACCATCAGATTGCCGACTCTTTCTATCAAAGGTTGAATCTATATTATTTTCTATAAAGGCCTCTTGTCAACATGACAATGAATTGAATTACTTTGAATCATTCTCTGTAGTCCTTACATTTAAAAAGTATGTCAGCTATGCATTTATTAACAGCTTTAAGCTATACGTAGCATCAGTTTTTTCAACATGCTAACTGTCAAAGCATATAGGAATATAGGAATACCATTTAATGTAATGGTGAGTGGAGTCACTGCTGACATCATGCCCCAAACTTTGACGGTCTTGTCATCTGAGCCAGTAACAAGCTTCGATTGGTCTCGAGTGAGACACATACACCTCACAGGAGCTCTGAAATACAAACATGAAATCATTTCCGTCATGGGGGCCATCCAAAAAGAAGCCATGCACAAAAAATGTTTAAATCAAATTTTGTAACCCACCCCCGCCATTGCACATATACTTCAACTCCACCCAGCAAAAAAAGAAGATAATTATGACATCACAGTAAAAAAGTTTGTTACAGGTTTTCACTGCTGGTTCTCTATGTATGGACCCCGGTCACCCGGAGGTGCTGCATTATCCTTGAGCAGGACCATAATAGGGGTAAGGGGGTAACCGCCAACATCCGGATGCCTAATTGGTCTTAAGATAGAACCTTAATTGTGAATGAAATTATAAAAATTTGCGTACTTCACAAAGGTGCCAAAAATGGTATTTTTACTGGTCTGCCCAGGTGGCACTTTTTACTATATTTTTAGGGACGCCATAAACAGGGTTTGCCCCGAATGCCACTTTTCCTCAGCACGGCCCTGCCCAGGGTTGCCGCGAATTCCTCAAAAGCACACTGGAAATTATTACACGCGTCAACAGTCACTAGCTAGAGTACCAATCAATAATTGTTTGCAGTTGCTAGATGACGCTTGGTGGTGTACATATTTGTTTTAATTATTTTAACTCAAACCTCCACTAAATTATTTTTTAAATGTATTATCTAATTATGCGTGTGCTAGTTAGAATTTAACACAAGGCGCCTGGTGCAAAACCTAAATTTGGCAACGGCGCAGGGAAGTCAGATATTTGCGGGACTAAATATTACAAGTTCTGACCAGGCATACTACTAGAGCGATATGTAGCCTATTCACTTGTGAAAACACAAGGCTATTTTATGACTATAATTCCTACAAAATATTGAGTGTTATTTTTACAGCGTTAATAGATATAAATATGCTATTTATGGACTGTGAGAACGTCTGGAAAATTTTTTGCAGAATTTGTGAATAAATAATTTACTTTATATTTCTACTAAGACACACACCCCCCCCCCACATATCTCCAAAATGGACAATTACCCCCCCCCCCACACCCCCCGTGTGTATGTATTACATCAGACTGGAATTACTTATACCATTATTTTGTTGTTCGCAGAGTGTTATGTTTCTATTCAAAACAATAAATTTAAAACATAATATGTACAGAATACAAATTCCAAGTTCTCAAGCAGTTTCACCAAGCTCGTCTTGGCAACACACAGTACTTTCTCACAGCCCATAGAACCAGTCACCAAGCTCGTCTTGGCAACACACAGTACTTTCTCACAGCCCATAGAACCAGTCACCAAGCTCGTCTTGGCAACTCACAGTACTTTCTCACAGCCCACAGAACCAGCCATGCATGACAATAGCCTCGGTTCTTCTTCTATTTATTGAGGGCCCACGATCAATTTATTGATCATTTTGGCTCCTATGCATGTAGAGGGGATTTGCAATGTTTCTGTGCCTGGTGTTGATGAGGATGTTTGACTGGTTGCCAGGGCGACTCAGTGAGGGAATCATGCACTGGGAGTTGGAAGGCCTGAGGCTATAGACACAAATGTGTAAAATGTTGTCTATTTGTAGTCTAAAAGTACTTCAACAGCAAAATGAAGTTTAATGGATTAAAATGCTGTCAATTACACACACTATATCCACAAAACTTACGCATGCGCTGCATAAAATGTGAATCCAGCATTTACTTCTCTTGTGTCAATATGTACTGATCGCTCTGCTCGCTTGGTTAAAAAAAAAGAAAGATATATAAGATAGTAATAGCAACATTAAAAATACAGATTAAGGCTAAGCTTTAAATAATAAGCAGTGGCATGATAAAAATATAATTGGCATTCCTTTGATTTAATCTGAGGTCGTCCCCCCCCCACAACACCAAAAAAAAAAAAAAATTATAATAAGTTAATTATGTATTATTTTGAGTTGACAAATATTAAGAGCATAAAATCATTTACAAATGTTCCTCAGTCAGGCGTTAACCAAAAATTGTTTATTTTTAAATTTATTTACTCAAAGCTCAAACTTAATAAAGTTTAATATCTTATAAAAGAAATAAATAGTCATTTTCAAATAAATTATTAGGCAAAACATCTTAAATGATAAAATGACCTACTTGATAATGTAGGTCAATGGCATACACATTGCCATTGATGTCTCCGGCGTACAGGGCCAGCTCTGAGTGATCCATGGTGACTGACATTACAGGGGCACCCAGTTCAAACATTTTCAACTGTTCTTTAGACAACAGGTTCCATAACTAAAAAAAGGACATAACGAAAACAGAGGGTAAACACCTTACCATCCCAAGCAGCTATTAAAAAAAAAAATCTAATGTCCTAAATAAATATAAAAACACACCATCATTCCAAATTAAAATATGTACAATATGGCATGCTACCATCAATGCTTATAAGTCAAGGTGTTGACTTTTGTTACTTATAAAGAAGAAATCAAGACTTTCAACCTTTTATTAGACTTTTATGATAAAACAAGGTTTACCCTGACAGTAAAATCCATTGCTGATGAAACAACTCTGTGAGTCAAACTTATGTGAAAATCTGTTATCTCCCCTGCATGTCCAATGAAAGTATTTACAGGACTGTGCTCTTTGACTTGCATTGGGTCATGGTATAAGACACTGAAATTGGTAAGAAAAAAATTAAAGCAGTTAATAAAATCAATTTTAATAACAATAAACTATTTCAGTGTCGTTTTTTTTCTAATTGGCAATCAACTTTTTATGAACAATATGTAAAAATTTCTTTTGCTATCTATAACATATTTACCTGCTCAAAAAAAATATGTCAGCTTTAATTTCACTTGAGAAAACTAATTTCCTTATTTTGCACTTACTCTTGGAGTTCCCAAACTGTTACTGCTCCATCTCTGTAACCAGCTACAAGATATTCCCCAGTTGGTGTAAATTTTAGGCGCTTCACTTCTACACTGCTGTATGATAATACACTATAAAGCTCTCCCGTGCTGACCTTATAGAAGAAATACCAGGGATTAATGGAATAAATGCCAATAAGAAAGACACACAGTTTATAGTTTACTTTGAGAACATTTATTTATAACTTTAAATTTAAAGTTATATCATTGTGATTTATTGGGACTTGCCTTAAAATTATAAACACCCAACTTTAATCACAATATTTGCCAACATATCCTGGCTAATATCACTTAGACACATCTGGAGCATAATCAAAACTTTCAAACATCATTTATCACACAGAATCAAGACAATGACATCATTTGAAACTTGGCAGATAATGAAACATGTCAAAAAGCCAATGGAAATTTTACATAGTAAAAAGTGATAAAATGTTAATACATGTGTTAATTTAATTTGATATTAAATAATCCTAAATAAAGAGAAAATTATTGCACTAACACTGCTTCATTTTAAAAATTGTAAATTTTCATTTTGATATGCCTATGGTTCTGTTAATGATTTGTTCTTTTTTTGTGGATGTGTGTTTGGTTGTGAGAGTATTTGTATAGCTGATGCTACCTGCTTTGTATCTTGTGACGTTTTTGGGTATGGGAAAAAACGCTGTTGTATTTGGTTCAGTAGTAGTAATGGAGTTGCAGAGAGATAACCCGATGAAAGAAGCCATGCCGTTTATTCAATAAAGAGACATTTGTCATATGAATCATTGGTTTGTTAAATAATTAAATAATCCCTATACAACGAAGGTATTGAACTGCCAATGCAGTTCGTAACAGCTTCTCTAGTGTTTAAAATTTTGAACAAAAATTTGCCTTACTTTACAGAGAAGAGTATTGTTAGCAGAAAAAAAAACAAGTAAAAGGCAACACTTATTAAGGTTATTCTGCGGTCTCCCCATTCCAGATTATAATGCTAATGTGAAACCTGAAAGATCTGTGGAAATAGAGGCATACAAACCTGCCCTATGTGAATCTAAATAAAGGCAAACAAATCTGCCCTATGTGAATCTAAATAGAGGCATACAAACCTGCCCTATGTGAATCTAAATAAAGGCATACCAACCCGCCATATGTGAATCTAAATAGAGGCATAAAAAACTGCCATATATGAATCTAAATAGAGGTATACAAACCTGCCATATGTGAATCTTGTCCTCAATCCCTGCTGCTAAGAATGTTCCATCTGGTGTAACAGCCAAACATGACACTTTGCCACCACATATTAACTTTCTGTGCTTTTGACTCTGCAAAAGATCAGACTATTAGGTATACGTTATAATTTTTAAAAATAAATTCAAATGAGTCAATTGATTACGTAAATAATATTAATTGATTGTAAGTCCATTAAAAGTGAGTTCAGTGATAATTTTTTAACCTGTCTAAGCATATTCCAGACATGAATAACAGGTTTAGTCAGTGATGCTGCCAAAAAATTTTCTCCACCAAGTATACACAAAGAGTTAGGGGCAGCTGAGCCATTTCGAAATGTTTGCAAGAGATTTCCAGTACGTGCATCCCAGGCACTAACATTTCCATTTTGATCCTCACCTCCTAATGTAGCAACAAAGATTACCTATAAATAAAGAAATAAACATAGAATTATTTTATTTAGTTTAACTGACCAAATGAAAAATAAATACTAAAGTTTGATATGATTTTTGAAATAATCACTTAAGCCCCAGTTCATGGGTGCCACTTATTACATTCCATTTTGTTCTTCAAAGGGGAGCGCCCTGCAAGAAATTCCATAGTTGTAGTAACATTATTTGTTGCCTCACAAAGTGCACATATAAATAAAATGCTGCATCATTTAAAATTTCCATTGGATCAACAATTTGAATTATTGTTTCTTGGTCGTCCTGCCATTTTGAACAAAGTGATCCCACTACCAGCAATACCGCAAAATGAGTCCATCTTATTATATATAATCACTAGCCCTCTGTTACGCACTGACTTGTATTGGGAGAAATTAATCTCCTATTTTAATTTTAATTGGCTCGTTGTAAGCAGTGCCTAACAAAGGACGATACCATAGAATCAACAATATTAAAGATACGACCCAAAACATGTATTGGGAGAAATTAATCTCCTATTTTAATTTTAATTGGCTCGTTGTAAGCAGTGCCTAACAAAGGACGATACCATAGAATCAACAATATTAAAGATACGACCCAAAACAGTTTCTAGTTACAATTTAATTAAGATTTATTATGTCTTAAGATAATTACAAAAGAAAAGAAAAATATAATTACAATCTTCAACTTACAGTATGGTAGATCTTGTACCGGTACACAGTTAACACAGTTAGAATAATGTGCCAATAAATAATGCGAAATAAACACATATAAGCTCACAAATACACAAAGAATAAAACACGCCTCGTAATGTTAAGAAAATCTATCTGAATCTCCGTCCTCTTGTCCGTGCCTGTCAATCCCTTATATAGGTGGGTCTACCGACGCCTAAGCCCTGCCTTCGATAAGCTACACGGCATTTCTAGAAAAATCCCATTTATTCTACAAAATACTATTTGGAACAGATTAATTATTTTGAGTGGTTGGCGGTGTAAACAAGAATACTTCAAAGGCCTAAGCCACACCCCTTAGTGAACACAGCGTCTCATGCGGGGTCAATCACAGGGCACGCACGAGAAATATTATGTAAACAAGCTCTCTATAACACCCTCACTCTCATTTTACTTAGCCCAAATCCGTCAATGTAAGCTTATTTGCATATGAAAAAAGGGGAGGGGTGCTCAAATTAGAGCTGACCAATCATGGACAACGTATTTGCAGCCATCATTATAAGATGACTATCAATAAATGACCCCACGCTATCATTCCGATTTATCCTATTTCTGCAACGTCACAATTTTTTTTTTTAAGTGGACACATGATCACACATCGGCACAAATTCGTGGACCACCCCCCCCCCCCTTAGCTTCACTCCATAACAATGATGATGTGTGTGTCTGCTGCCTTAGCCGGTAATCCACTTTTATTTAACCCCACCCCCCCCCCCCCATAAATTCTGAGCGCTTTGAGAGGAAAAAAGAAGGGGGGGGGGGTGGGGGGGGGCGCTCGTGCGTAATGCAAAAATCCAGTATTTCATTCTTTTTTGTGAACATGCCTACAGTTTGGAAATGTTCATTTAACATTCTAACTTACAGGTGATTAAAAATCTGGCCGAGGGTTAAATAAAAATACAAAACAAATAAAATGGGGCTATGTAACTTTGGTTGGGGGATGTTTAAGGACGCCATAACTTTAGAAATCAAATAAAAAGATAAAAGCGCTGAAAAGACGTTGTGGCATTCTCAACTAGTTTTAGCATCCTCAACTAGTTTTAGCCTTCAGTATTATTAGTTATTAGTATTATTATTATTAGTTAACTATAACTGGCAGTATTTAACTAATAAAGAATACATGTAAGTTTACATGAGAAAATACAAAATGCGTTTAGTAATAATATACGCACCTGAACTGCACTTTTACCTTTTATCTTACAAACCCAACAATAATATTTTTAATATTTTTTTTTTATAAACGCAACCTGGTTACCACGCAACCTCTCACTTCGACTTCTGATACTGGGTCCGAATAGCTGCAGCCTTAATTAAATAAATAATTGGTATAAATGAATAACAGGCCTGATAAGCCTAATAGTACTAATACAAAATACAAAGACTACGAAATGTTAGCTAATTTTCTTATCAAACAATAAATGTCTTACTTCCTCACACGCTTTAATATTTCCAGACTTGCTCACGGAGGCTGCCATTTTAAAGGATAGGTGAACTCTGTTTTGTTATTCTTTTAAAGGCCAGCACTACGTACACCAACACGATGTACGGTGTACGTAGTGCCAGCCTTAAATTTAAAATAAAAAAAAAAAAAAAAAAAAAAAATTGTACCTAACAAAACCATTGGCTTTGGCCTGCGTACACTCAGCAAAACCAAGGTCTTTTCCAGCATTTAACTCTTTGGCCTAACCAGTAGGCTCTACAAGTAAAATTAATGTAAAACTCTTGTCTATAAACTAGTATTTTATCAAATTCATTCAATGCCCGCAATATTAAACAAGAGTAGTAGTAGTTTTATTGTGCGCAAGACTTAAGTCCTATGGGAACGACGCTCTTGTAGCTGTACTAATTTTTTTTGCTAAGAATTATTATATTTTTATTTCTGGGATTGGGAGCGGGGGTAGACATTTGGGCAAATTCCCACACTTTTGTGGCAAGCTTCTTGTAAATAGCAAAACAATTCTTATTATTTTACTGGTCGTATTAGGCCGCTTCGTAAGTAAAACTCATTTTATATCCTTATCTGTGGCCAACCCCACAGGGAGGCAATTTTGAGATTATAGGACACCATTTAATAGTCTCTGGAAAAGTAACAAATAATAAGGGAGTTGAAGATGCGGCCCATGCTGGATATAATTTTTCCCCCTTTAAATGGAGGGGTGCCATTTTTAATCTGAGAGCTTTTCGCTACAAATGACAATTGGGGGATAAAATATTTGCCCACATTGGGGGTAGTGGCACTTACCTGATCCAAAGATCTGGAATATAGGAAATGTATTTGTTTCAAACTTGTGGGAGGGGTGTAAAGTTAAAACATTATTTCTTTTTTTAAGTTAACCAATTTTGTCTCCTTATGTTGCAATACAAATATATTTTTCATTTATTGTATTTTTGTATCGTACAATTGTGAATCTTAAGGCCTAAAAAACAGCTCGCTTGAAATTATATTTAAAAAATCTTTCACGTTAAAACACTTAATAATAGACACAAATTGTATATTTATATTGCAAAAAAAAAAATAATAACAAAAGACTATAGCTACAAATGAACATAATATTTCAATTCTATGAAATTAAAAAAACAAAAAAAAAACTCCTAAAAACAAAGTGTTCGTATAATAATTTAAATGCATTATTGTTAATATTTATGTAATGGTGCGTGATTTATCACTTATGTGAATGTTCCCCTGGAATAAACAGAAAAAAAACGAGTGGGAGGGGGGCAGAAAATTTGATGTGTTGTCATAATGTGTCAAGTTTCAGCTCGATATGTTGACGGGAAGTGGCTCAATTAGCTTTCCGAACATTTTGCCAAAAAAACATACGAACAGGCGAAGTTAATATAAATGATTTAATTAAGATTATATAAAAAAGAAACAACTCCAGCAGTATATGGGTAATAATAACCAAATATAATATCGTCTTGCGTTTACTCTACCACAAGACCACACAGGATCATTTCTTAAAGACATGATATATAGAAAAACCAGGCCTACGGCGGTATTTTTGTTATTTTTGGCCATTCACAAAAATGCCTGAACTTGGACATTTTTTATTCATCTGTAATTCATATTTTATGTCTAATAAGAATTATTTAGTACACTTAGTTGCAAAATTGAATTACTATTTTTTTTAAATAAAAAAGCTTGTTTTTTTTTTTAGACCAGACACTTCTAACTTATAAATTTGTAAATGTACAGTTTATTTTTACGGAATAGTTAACCCCAAGGCCCAAGACTGTGACCCATGTTTCGTCTTGTCTTGGCGAGTATTTACCATCAGAGTCACGTAAGCCACTTGACAGGAAAGTCAATATTCTCAACGTTTCACTGTTCAGGTTACCACTTCACCGGCGTCTTTAAAAAAAATATGGATAACTTTAAATCATTTCCCCATTTCGCAACTGATGTCATACACGAAGGGCAAGAACCAGAACAATGGAAATCTATGGCAGTCATTCCCCCCATCACCACATCGACAACTTTTAAGCAATTCGCACCAGCTGAGCACGCAGTAAGTTGTGTTTTTTTTTGTTGCATTTGCATTAGACTCAAGCTATTCGGATGGCATTTGTGATAGTTTATTTTAGTTAAACTGAAGAATTAAGTTTACAAACATACAATAGAATAGTTCATTCAATTATCTTTCATTTTTTTTTATACCTCATTTTGTCTTACAAACCCAACCCAAGCATAAAATTATTAAAAGTTTTTTAATCCCAACCTCTCACTTCTGGTACAGGGGTACGAATAGCCCAAAAAGCATAAATTGATCATGGGCCCTTAATATGTAGAAGAAGAAGAAGAAAGATGATCAAGATAAACAAAAACCAATATGGCAGCAATATGTTAACATGAGACATGTGCTTGAAATTTCTATATGTACATGATGTACGTTTATAAATGAGATGTACATGCTCATGTTTTCGGAGTTGTTTTTAATACAACAGCGTTACTGTGATTTGTTTGATTAAGCCAAGCCATCGGCATGCTATAAAAATTTACATACATTTTTGCTAACAGCACAAGGCATATGTGGGGTTCCACTTTTCCGGATTCGCGAGTTTTTATTTTCTCTCGCTCCAGTTTCACCAATTCAGTTTATTCAAATACGGATTCTGGGTTTTAAAAAAATAAATCAGCCTGTAAGAATGCGTGAAAGCCTATTAAGCGATAAGCGGCTTCGCTATAAATAGAACAGGTACTGCGACCTCTCTCTCTTTTGTTTGAAAGCCTCTCGCTTCTTGCTGTGTCAAGTTAATTGCGCAGACAACGATATTGTCATATCATTTGAATTACTACAGTTTTCTTTTTTTAGGCACGTATTTGTTGTGTATAATTTTCAAAAGCCGGGGATTGGTCATGGGCATCGAATAACCGAGTTTGGTTTTTTTAAATTCAACATATAAGAACGCGCGAAAGCCTATTCAGTGAGAGCGGGTTTGCAATAAATAGAACAGATACTGCAACCTCTGGCTTTCATTTGTAATCATTGCACAAGAAATTATTTCTGTGTGAATTTTATGAGTTTCGTTAAGTTTCAGGGTTTGAAATATTTGTAAAGGAAGTTTCAGGTTTCAAGAAAATTTTAGAAAGGGATTTCAGGGTTCACAGCTTTCATTGAGTGGCACCACTGGTGTCATCCCATTTCAAAGGAGGTGAACACATGGACACATCAGATGTGTTGCTCAAATGTCATGCACTGGTAAACCAGTGAGAGTAAGGAATGAAAGCAAAGTCATTTCTGAACTGTATTGCTGTATGGATTCTATTAAATACACTCTTACTAATGGTCCTCAATGTCTCTCCATTTCTATTCTCATGTTTTGTTGTAGTTTAAAATATTAATTTTATACTAATAATTATTTTACTTTGACAATATGCACCACAGAATTATGTAAGAGGCACGTTTCAGTTTTGATACAACATCTCTTTGTACAATGCGCCTTTGTTTCTACACGAAGAATGAGAAAGCTGCATTATGATCTGTGAACTCCTACGTTTTTTCAATTTCAAATAATTTTGTTTTTGCTGTTTTGTATTGTTTGCTGAAGAAGGAGTTGAGCCGAAATATCCCTTTATTTGTTCGGTCCTTTTATTCAAGCCTATTCTATTTATTTTTCTAGCCTGGTAGACTTTTGGTATAATAGCTTTATAATAATAGCTTTATAATAAAGTAAATAGCATATAAATAAAATATACCTTTAATTTCAATAAGTCTTGAAATAAAACTACCCCTTCTTATTTAATATTTGGGCTGGGCTAAAATTTAGCCTGACAAGTTAGCCTGCTTAATCAAATAAGTGTTTCATGAGTAGTAAAAAGCAATAACAAAAATTATTTAAAATTTTTTTTTTTTAAATGTTAAATGGTCATACACTTGGCCATGGAAAGAATGTATAATGTAATATTAGGTCTGTTTAGCATTGCCTCACTAAAATTAAAAGTTTTAAGTAATGCATTAAATTGAATTTGGTTATTACTTATTGTAGCTATAGCTAAACATCTGAATTGTTTAACTTTCCGAATTTCATGCTACAACATACATTTTTCTTAAAATAAAGTATTCCCGTATTTTTTTAATTGTATGTAATGAAAATGTATGCTTTATCTTTGGTGGTAACCCAGTGCCTTTGCCTCAGGGATTTCAGTATGTCATTTATAAGATATGTCCAACTGTAGTTTATTTACAGCCGATGATTCAGCAATATTTCTAGATAAATGACTTGCTAAAATTGACTGAATAGTTGCAACCTATGAGTCACTTACAGGGATGCTTTGTTAGTATTTGAATTTTTTTATATTATTGTATAATCTTTATATTATTCATAATTTTTAAAAGAAAACTTTAAAGTTTACTCCATTGTATTATTTTTAATTTTTTTTTAAAAAAGTAAGCAGCCTTTAAAGTTTCAGCAGCCTCGTATGATTATCTAAGTTAGTAGGCCAATGTTCAAGGTTAAGGCACCCTGGCCCAGTAATAGTTCATTTTTGGTTTGTAGAATATTACTAAAACTGTTCTTGGTAAATAAAATAATGAATATGCAGGGTATTTAAAATATGATTTTCACATTTATCAGATTAATTGACAGGTGAAAATACAGACATTTCAAGAGGAATCAATTTTTTAAATAATATACATCTAAAATTTGTATGCCCAGAATTGAGAAAAAATTTCATCCACCTGTGCCTATAATGTAGATGCAATAGCTAGAAAGTTGTAGCTAAAAAGTTCTCCCAGACACTGATAAATAAAGTAAAAGATTTTACCATGTAATTTCATCAGTAAAATGTAAAAACAATATTTTTATTTGGAGGTTATAAAGGCACCTGTAACTTTTGTTAAAAATCTGTGTCCCTCTCATTTTAAAAATCAAAAACATTCAAATATATATTCTTTGAAACTGTGAGGTTTTATTTCTTGCATTCTAATACTCATATAGTAGATTCCAGTTTTTATAGAGCCCAAAAAACTTTTTCTCTAACAACATGTTTGTCCTGCATAAAGATTAAATTCCATTATTTTTCTTTTCTGTGACTGAATTCATTCCAACTCCTTAACAGGGTTTTGAATATTCTCGCAGTGGTAATCCCACACGTAACTGCCTTGAAAAATGTCTGGCTGCATCAGAAGGAGCCAAGCATGGTATGGAGAAGGAAATAAATCTAGATTAGTGTATGAGATATATATTAATTTCCCAAAAGATGGAAATTTAAATTGAATTAAATGAAGTTGAATAGATCAATCAAATGCTTTTGGGTTTTTGTTTTGTTTTTAGGGTTAAAGAATAATATGCTTAAAAATAAATAATTTTAAAAAGTTAAATGAAGACATCAATGCCTATGTAAATAAATTCAGAAAAACTAATAATAATTTTAAAAAATAGTCTATGAATGTTAAAGTACTCAGTAAATAATAACATCACATGAAATGCCCTGAAACTAACATGGGGAATGATATGTACAGTAAGTAGATAGCTAACATTTTAAATGGGCAATGATATGTACAGTAGATAGCTAAAATTTTAAATGGGCAATGGTATGCACTGTAGATAGCTAACAAAAGAATATAGTCCAATCAATTAGAAACGTTTTCATAAATGTTTTTTTTCCTATTAATTACAAAGCCCAATAGAAATTTTTTATTGCAACAAATTTTATACAATATTCCCACATAGCTGTTATTTCAATAAATCTCTTATTCATCTTTCTCCTGTTAGGTCTATGTTTCTCATCTGGACTAGCAGCTACAATGACTGTGACCCATCTGCTACAGAGTGGTGATCATATAATAAGCATGGATGATGTCTATGGAGGTTAGTAACTTGTTAAAGTTAAAGAGTGTTTTGGGAAAATAACCTAGAAGATATTGTATGTGACTGACATCATGGTGTGTTCCTGACTAATGCTCTCATATTATGAATAATGTATGGTAACTTTTGTTAACTATCTAATGATATATTTTAACTACTTTATTGAAAATTGTTGTCAGGAAATAAAAAATATATTAAAACAGTTCAAAAAATATCTATTAAAATTCTTATTTCCCACAGGAACTAACCGCTACTTCAGTAAATGTGCCAAGAAGATGGGGCTGGAGATTTCTTTTGTGGATTGCACCATAGTGAAGAATGTACTGGAAGCCTTAAAGCCTAACACGCGGGTATGTCATGTGTTTGTAGCCTTAACAATGTCAGCATGTAGATATGGGATTCATTACAGGTATTCAAGTGTTTTACTGAGTGGGGACATATTTTGGAAATGGAAACTGTTGCTTCAGTGTGGTTCAGAAATACACAGACTGTAAACATGGAAATGTTGCCAGAGTGATTGATGATACATATGATTTTGAAAGTTAAAATATTATTTAATACAACGAAAAAATGGGTGGGGACAATTGAAACTTTATCAATTTATTTCCTATGTGTAACTGACTCTACTTTTTGTGATGGAGAGATTCAAGCAATATCAAGCAACAATTTTTTATACAATATTGCCTATATTTGTATTGTAATCAATAGCCAAATTTATCTAACTATATAACTATCAACATTATAGAATTTTTAATAATTTTTATTAACAGAATTAATTTGTTTAATTTAGCAGTGGTTTCCCTTTATTTGAAACATGGGCAGCTTTTCTTACTATTTTATAAAATGTCTCTTTTAGAATATAATTTTTTCAAATTTGGCAAATTGACCAAATTGATTTAGTTTTTTAAAACTTATCTTATCAGCAAGATAATCCAATTTAGTTTATAATAATTTGTAGCTTAAGGATAAAAAGTGTAAAAATAAGATGAAGCCCTACTAAAAATCATTAGTAGAGTTTTTTTTTAAAATATGTCAATAAATCCCAAAGAAAAGAGAGGGAAGAAGTTATTAAATGAGTGCCTAGAAAGGGCCAAAGCAGGAAAATTAAGCACATTTTTGGAAGTTATGCAATTGTTTTGTGATTAGAAATGTAGAAATGAAAACAGGAAGAAATGGATAATCTGGTCCAATGTATCTGGATTGTTCCATGAGGTGCTATAATGACCAAGTAAACAGTGGCTTCACATGGAATTATGGCCCATTAGACTTGGTTCCACTTTGAACATTGTTATTCAAATTTAAATAAACTTTCTTCCTTTAGGGAAGACAATCTGATACCATTTGCAATTTACAACATGTTTGACTGTTGTTTTTTCCGGTAGATGGTGTGGATAGAGACTCCAACTAACCCCACCATGAAACTTGTGGACATCACTGCTGTATGCCAGGCTGTCAGGGCAGAGTCGGAGGCGTGGAACATCAAGCCTTTTGTTGTTGTCGACAACACTTTCATGTCAGCTTACTTCCAGGTCTAGTTAAAATGATATTGTTGTTGTTAGAACTTAATGATAGTGTTGCTGTTAGAACTTAAGTATGAAGAAAAGAAGTCGCATAAGAAGACAGAAGAAAATGTATAACTTTTATGTTATAAGAATGCGCAGTAGAGCTAGTGACAGACTACATGCATTCTGGTGGTCCTGAGTTCAAATCCTAGAAAAAACTGAATCAGCAGACTAGTTATTCCCCAGTCTCCATCATAAACAGGTTCATGTTGTATGTTAAATAGGGGGGAAATGACTTGTCAAGTACTGGATCATCATTGTACCATAGAAAAAAATGTTGTGATTTATCAAAAATATGGAGCAGGAGCTGGAAAAACATGGAATGAGAACAAAAGATTCAAGTACAAAGTCTGCATGTATGGTTTACCTTAGGAGGTTACCCCAGAGATTTCAGAGTAATTCATCAAACTCTTTATTTAAGTTGGTGTTTAAAGATTTAAATAACTTTTTTTTTCCCAGCGGCCACTGGCATTAGGTGCTGATATGGTGATGCATTCCTTGTCCAAATATATGAATGGTAAGTAACCCTGTTGGTTCTCATCAATACATTGTTAAATTGTCCTTTCTTTTTTTACCACTATAAGCCAGACATAAATCCCCTTCCAATTCCCAATAACAAGCATAAACAGTTTTTGGTAAGGATTCTACACAGAAGTCAGCCATCCAATTAGTAATATCATACACAATGGCCAGGGAATACTTTGATTTCTCTAGGTCACAGTGATGTCATCATGGGGGCTATTCTTCTGAATAATGACAAACTGGCAGAACAGCTGCGCTTTTTCCAAAATGGTGAGTTTTTTATCTTCACCATTTATACGTAAGGTTAATTTTAATTTAACCAGGTCGATGGGATACAAATTTATTGAAGTTAATTCAATACTTATTTAACAAAGTGACCAGTCCCTGCTGGTCTTGATGCTTGGCTATCTAAGATATAACTTTGCTTCCTGTACTCAGCACTATTATTATTATTAAACAGTTTCCATCTTGTTAACTTTTGAGGAAAAATTAAAGGAGAGTTGAATAAACTCTGACTAGAAATACAGTTACAACAATCAACAAAAGCAGCCGCAGTCATTGGTGACATCTCTCTCATTTAGCTGTTGGAGCTGTGCCTTCACCATTTGATTGCTACCTCTGTAACCGTGGCATGAAAACACTTCCAGTCAGGATGAAAGAACACATGAAGAATGGTCTAGCAGTGGCCAAGTTCTTGGAGAGTCATCCGGCTGTAGAGAGAGTGGTCCATCCAGGTAAACTAGTCGATCAATGATCAGTTTAGTTTTGATGCTGGGTCTTTGTTTGTGATGGTGCGCATGTCTTTGTGAGACTAGGTTGAAAGTGAATTACTTGTGGAGGCAACGTTTCATTCCCTGCAAATTCAAAATTTAAATCTGACTGTAAAAAAGGTGTCCTGGGTGGGGAAAATGCTAATGAATGAAAATTGTGTTTAAAAAAATGTTTATGTTGAGAGACCAGAAAGGCAGCGTACATGTGGATGACAGACAAAACATTCAGAAAGACAAGACGACTAATGATGGGTGTGACATAAAGCAAAAATGCTTGAATATGTCAGGTTACGGTAACTGGTCAACATTTTCACGCAACTTCATATAGCTTATAGAGCAGCAATAGTTGAAGGAATTGTTAAATTTTCGAGGTGAATAAACTTATAACGTGCAACAAACCAATTAGTGTTTAGTGTATTGGTATCCGTCGCTATCAGTTGCACTGGCCCGTGGGATGAAGAAAAAGACAATACCCAAACAGGTAGTGATCTGTCATCAAAGTTAGATGAGCACACAACAGTAAGATCTACGTCTGGTCAGAGAGCAGTGTCAGGACTTTCAATATATTTACTTGATTAAAAACATGTTTATTACGACCTCCACTGGCTTTTTCCATTTAAAGCACGCACCTGATGTTTAAAGCATAGACCTGATGTTTAAAGCTTAGACCTGATTTTTAAAGCATTGACCTGATGTTTAAAGCATAGACCAGATGTTTAAAGCATAGACCTTATGTTTAAAGCATAGACCAGATGTTTAAAGCATAGACCTGATGTTTAAAGTACACACCTGATGTTAAAAACACAGACCTGATGTTTAAAGTATAGACCAGATGTTTAAAGCATAGACCAGATGTTTAAAGCATAGACCTGATGTTTAAAGCACACACCTGATGTTTAAAGCATAGACCAGATGTTTAAAGCATAGACCTGATGTTTAAAACACAGACCTGATGTTTAAAGCATAGACCAGATTTTTAAAGCATAGACCTGATGTTTAAAGCATAGACCAGATGTTTAAAGCATAGACCTGATGTTTAAAGCATAGACCTGATTTTAAAGCATAGACCAGATTTTTAAAGCATAGACCTGATGTTTAAAGCATAGACCAGATTTTTAAAGCATACACCAGATTTTTAAAGCATAGACCTGATGTTTAAAGCATAGACCTGATGTTTAAAGCATAGACCTGATGTTTAAAGCATAGACCTGATGTTTAAAGCATAGACCTGATGTTTAAAGCATAGACCAGATGTTTAAAGCATAGACCAGATTTTTAAAGCATAGACTTGATGTTTAAAGCATAGACCAGATTTTTAAAGCATACACCAGATTTTTAAAGCATAGACCTGATGTTTAAAGCATAGACCTGATGTTTAAAGCATAGACCTGATGTTTAAAGCATAGACCTGATGTTTAAAGCATAGACCTGATGTTTAAAGCATAGACCTGATGTTTAAAGCATAGACCAGATTTTTAAAGCATAGACCTGATGTTTAAAGCATAGACCTGATGTTTAATGATAGACCAGATTTTTAAACCATAGACCAGATTTTTAAAGCATAGACCTGATTTTTAAAGCATAGACCAGATGTTTAAAGCATAGACCTGATGTTTAAAGCATAGACCTGATGTTTAAAGCATAGACCTGATGTTTAAAGCATAGACCTGATGTTTAAAGCATAGACCTGATGTTTAAAGCATAGACATGATCTTTAAAGCATAGACCTCATGTTTAAAGCATAGACCAGATTTTTAAAGCATAGACCTGATGTTTAAAGCATAGACCTGATGTTTAAAGCATAGACCTGATGTTTAAAGCATAGACCAGATTTTTAAAGCATAGACCTGATGTTTAAAGCAAAGACCTGCTGTTTAAAGCATAGATCAGATTTTTAAAGCATAGACCAGATTTTTAAAGCATAGACCAGATTTTTAAAGCATAGACATGATCTTTAAAGCATAGACATGATCTTTAAAGCATAGACCTGATGTTTAAAGCATAGACCTGATGTTTAAAGCACAGACCTGATGTTTAAAGCATAGACCTCATGTTTAAAGCATAGACCTCATGTTTAAAGCATAGACCTGATGTTTAAAGCATAGACCTGATGTTTAAAGCATAGACCAGATTTTTTAAGCATAGACCTGATGTTTAAAGCATAGACCTGATGTTTAAAGCATATACCATATTTTTAAAGCATAGACCTGATGTTTAAAGCATAGACCAGATTTTTAAAGCATAGACCTGATGTTTAAAGCATAGACCTGATGTTTAAGGCATAGACCTGATGTTTAAAGCATAGACCAGATTTTTAAAGCATAGACCATATTTTTAAAGCATAGACCTGATGTTTAAAGCATAGACCTGATGTTTAAAGCATATACCATATTTTTAAAGCATAGACCTGATGTTTAAAACATAGACCAGATTTTTAAAGCATAGACCTGATGTTTAAAGCATAGACCTGATGTTTAAAGCATATACCATATTTTTAAAGCATAGACCTGATGTTTAAAGCATATACCATATTTTTAAAGCATAGACCTGATGTTTAAAGCATAGACCTGATGTTTAAAGCATATACCATATTTTTAAAGCATAGACCTGATGTTTAAAACATAGACCAGATTTTTAAAGCATAGACCTGATTTTTAAAGCATAGACCTGATCTTTAAAGCATAGACCTGATGTTTAAAGCATAGACCAGATTTTTAAAGCATAGACCAGATTTTTTAAGCATAGACCTGATGTTTAAAGCATAGACCTGATGTTTAAAGCATAGACCAGATTTTTAAAGCATAGACCTGATGTTTAAAGCATAGACCTGATGTTTAAAGCATAGACCAGATTTTTAAAGCATAGACCTGATGTTTAAACCATAGACCAGATTTTTAAAGCATAGACCTGATGTTTAAAGCATAGACCAGATTTTTAAAGCATAGACCTGATGTTTAAAGCATAGATCAGATGTTTAAACCATAGACCTCATGTTTAAAGCATAGACCTGATGTTTAAAGCATAGACCTGATGTTTAAAGCATAGACCAGATTTTTAAAGCATAGACCTGATGTTTAAACCATAGACCTCATGTTTAAAGCATAGACCTGATGTTTAAAGCATAGACCTGATGTTTAAAGCATAGACCTGATGTTTAAAGCATAGACCTGATGTTTAAAGCATAGACCTGATGTTTAAAGCATAGACCTGATGTTTAAAGCATAGACCTGATGTTTAAAGCATAGACCTGATGTTTAAAGCATAGACCTGATGTTTAAAGCATAGACCTGATGTTTAAAGCATAGACCTGATGTTTAAAGCATAGACCTGATGTTTAAAGCATAGACCTGATGTTTAAAGCATAGACCTGATGTTTAAAGCATAGACCTGATGTTTAAAGCATAGACCTGATGTTTAAAGCATAGACCTGATGTTTAAAGCATAGACCTGATGTTTAAAGCATAGACCTGATGTTTAAAGCATAGACCTGATGTTTAAAGCATAGACCTGATGTTTAAAGCATAGACCTGATGTTTAAAGCATAGACCTGATGTTTAAAGCATAGACCTGATGTTTAAAGCATAGACCTGATGTTTAAAGCATAGACCTGATGTTTAAAGCATAGACCTGATGTTTAAAGCATAGACCTGATGTTTAAAGCATAGACCTGATGTTTAAAGCATAGACCTGATGTTTAAAGCATAGACCTGATGTTTAAAGCATAGACCTGATGTTTAAAGCATAGACCTGATGTTTAAAGCATAGACCTGATGTTTAAAGCATAGACCTGATGTTTAAAGCATAGACCTGATGTTTAAAGCATAGACCTGATGTTTAAAGCATAGACCTGATGTTTAAAGCATAGACCTGATGTTTAAAGCATAGACCTGATGTTTAAAGCATAGACCTGATGTTTAAAGCATAGACCTGATGTTTAAAGCATAGACCTGATGTTTAAAGCATAGACCTGATGTTTAAAGCATAGACCTGATGTTTAAAGCATAGACCTGATGTTTAAAGCATAGACCTGATGTTTAAAGCATAGACCTGATGTTTAAAGCATAGACCTGATGTTTAAAGCATAGACCTGATGTTTAAAGCATAGACCTGATGTTTAAAGCATAGACCTGATGTTTAAAGCATAGACCAGATGTTTAAACCATAGACCAGATTTTTAAAGCATAGACCTGATTTTTAAAGCATAGACCTGATGTTTAAAGCATAGACCTGATGTTTAAACCATAGACCAGATTTTTAAAGCATAGACCAGATTTTTAAAACATAGACCTGATTTTTAAAGCATAGACCTGATGTTTAAAGCATAGACCAGATTTTTAAAGCATAGACCTGATGTTTAAACCATAGACCTCATGTTTAAAGCATAGACCTGATGTTTAAAGCATAGACCTGATGTTTAAAGCATAGACCAGATTTTTAAAGCATAGACCAGATGTTTAAACCATAGACCTCATGTTTAAAGCATAGACCTGATGTTTAAAGCATAGACCAGATTTTTAAAGCATAGACCTGATGTTTAAAGCATAGACCAGATTTTTAAAGCATAGACCAGATGTTTAAAGCATAGACCTGATGTTTAAAGCATAGACCTGATGTTTAAAGCATAGACCAGATGTTTAAAGCATAGACCAGATTTTTAAAGCATAGACCTGATGTTCAAAGCATAGACCAGATGTTTAAAGCATAGACCTGATGTTTAAAGCATAGACCAGATGTTTAAAGCATAGACCTGATGTTCAAAGCATAGACCAGATGTTTAAAGCATAGACCAGATGTTTAAAGCATAGACCAGATGTTTAAAGCATAGACCTGATGGCTGATTTTGTTTTGCAGAATAGGGAGAAAAATGTGTTTTACTCTTGTGATCTAGGATAATTGGTAACAGACAAAAATAGAAGAAAGTTTCATTATTATTTAGTAACTTATGTGACCTAATTTTCAGATAGCCCCAGCGGAGACTGTATTTATTTTTTTCTACTTAGATTACAGGACTGATACGCTCAAATTATTTTTATTTTATAGTCTGTTTATTTAGATATTTCTTGTCTCTATGACATCCTGCATAGTTTTTCAATATATATTTTATATATATATCGTCGATTCCTGGAAGTATCTAAACTAAATTTTATCTTCTTACAGCACTTCCATCTCATCCCCAATATGAACTTGCTAAGAAACAGATGATTGGCTACTCAGGCATGCTTATATTTTTCATTAAAGGTGGACTGGAAGCATCTAGAACATTCTTAAAATCCTGCAAGGTCAAATAATTTTGTTTTATATTATTTATTTATTTAGGCATTTTTTATATAGCGCTTACCTTAAAGCTCTAAGCGCTTTACAATTATTAAAAACATGTAAACTAAGTAAAATAAAAATGAAAAACCAGAGACACTAGGATAGTAATTACTATGCTATAGAAACAATTAAAATGGCTATAAAACGAGTACACTTTGGCACGTTTTGGCCTATACTACAGGATCAACCCGAGACAGAAAATGAGGCAGGGCAAGGAGGGTGCATCACAGGTCATAGGCGGACCTAGACAGATGGGTTTTAATGGACTTTTTGAAAGTGGACGAGGTTTCACAATGACGGATGTGGCAGGGGAGCTGGTTCTTATGTTTAAAGCACATATTTCTTAGCAGAAAAATTGTTAGAGTTAAAAAGCCTGGTAGAAGTGTTTGTTTATCTGTGGCATCACAAGAAGAGTTCACAAACTAATAGTATGGATCATCACTATGTTTTGTTAATGAACAAATAACTTCTTTTCACATGATGGTTTGTCTTGGCTTTTCACATGATGGTTTGTCTTGGCTTTTCACATGATGGTTTGTCTTGGGTTTTACATTAAAATTTAGTGTAATGTAAACTAAATTTTAATGTAAATTTAAAGGACTTAAAAAAAAGTTTAACAAAAAAAAAATTAACAAAAAAAAATTAACAAATGTAAGAAGACCAGCCATGCCTTTATCATTTCAGTAAAATAATTGTCAATGTTTTCTCTTTTTGAAAAAGATTTTCACACTTGCTGAAAGTCTTGGTGGATTTGAGAGTCTATGTGAATTGCCGTAAGTATCTAACTTGGCCATATTATTTAATGATTTGATAGTCTCTGAATTGCCGTAAGCATCATAGTTGGCCATATTATTTAATGATTTGAGAGTCTATGTGAATTGCCGTAAGTATCCAAGTTGGCCATATAATTTATTTAAATTTGCAAACGAAGCTTTGTTGTTGTTTTTAAAATATTAAAACTGGACTAGAAAATATAACCATACAACCTTTGTTACAGATGTGGTTGTCTTAACAGACATTAGCTTAAGACTTTGTTACAGATGTGATTGTTTTAACAGACTCTATCATGATGCTCACCTGAAAATACATTTTAGTAAAGTTTATAAATATTGTTAAATTATAAATTCATTAACTGGTCTAATATGCACAATGTACAATATAATTTTATTTTAAAGAAACTGGGGGGGGGGGGGGGNGGGGGGGGGGGGGGGGTTTATAGACATATGCAATCGAAATGTTCCTATTAATTATATTGTCGACGGAAATTTCGTAGAATATTTTTTTCAGTTCACATGATCTAATTTACGAAAATTTTAACGTGTGAACTGATAAAAGATTCGACAAATTTTCGTTGTATCAATTTTCCAAAAATAATGGGTGTGTACAATTGATTAGGGACTTAATCTATGTGATAATGTTAAGTTTTATTAACTACAGATAAAATTATGGGACTTAGCATACCTGTTTCAGATGATCGAAACACTAGGGAAAAGAAAATTATGCCTCTATATTCACAAATATTATTGTATAGTGTTTAATTTTCAGTCAAATGATTGACTTGCTTAAGTGAGCCGTCAATGCTCTAGGTCAGTGGTTCCCAAACGTTTAAGTTTGGCGGACCGGTGAAAAAGTTTCGAAATTTTACCAGGGACCGGTGCATGATTTATTTTTATACTTTTATTTCTATTTGAAAATAAATATTTATGTTACGGGAACCGGCAGCGTTAGGCATGCGGACCGGTGAGGGTCCACGTCCACGGACCGCCATTTGGGGACCACTGCTTTAGGTGATCTAAATTGTTAAAGAAAATAAGGTTTACAATAAAATAAAAAAAATATCCTTATAAAAATTAAGCTAATGCAAATTTACTATTTATGTTCTTTTTTAAAATCTTTTCTGCCAGTTGCTTGCAAACACATGCTTCAGTGCCAGAAGAGCAGCGTAAATTGCTGGGTATCTCAGACTCTTTAATCCGCTTATCTGTTGGTTTAGAAGATGTAGAAGATCTTATCCAAGATATAGACCAAGCCCTGAAAGCAGCTGTGAGTAGTTTTGTCATAAAACCTAATCAACTGAGACCTGCAAATCATTACTATGTGTCTAAAATTTGGTGCATCTATTAAGTCTGTTAAAGAACATGATTGACTAACAGTTTTTGAGTTAGAATTATTACATTTTGTTTAATTGTGAAACCATGGAGTTCAGCGAGCAGGCCTGCTGCTCTATTTGAGACGTTAGGTCCAACAAATGTTAAGGAAGATCTAGTTTCTATTAAATTTCAAAATGGCGTTAGTGGAATGAATAGTATTCAACATTAAAAATTTTAACTATGGTCCATCTGAAAATCAGAGTTACTTCCCTTTCTTAGGGAATTTTGATTGAACTCTTAGTATGTTTTCGGTTAAACTGTTTAATATAAATCATTCATTTTGATTTTCCTTTTTGCTCTTTCAGGTAAAGCTGTAAGACTTATGATGACGAGGCTCGTCAACAATCTGTTTGACAATGTTTACACTGTCAGAAGTCATGTCATGTTGGCTCTTAATGTTCTCTCACTCTGACAATAGATTTCCCTAATTCTGTCGATATTTTTTGTTGCTGCTGAAAACCACTTTTTAGAATGCTGTAGTGATTATTTAAGGCATTGGTTCCCACAGTTATTACAATGCTTCTTTGAGAATTATCCTAATACAAATTAAATTGTTTTGGTGACAACTCAAATATCCATGTTTTTTAGTTTAAAAAAAATTTATTTAGTGATGAGATCAATCTTTGACAATCCTGCGCAACTGGTCAACATGTATAAATATTATCAATAAGAAGTACTAAGGGATTTCTATGTTTTACATTATTATTATTATTATTATTAGTTCATCTTTTCATTAGAATAATTTTTTAACATTGTGTACAAAGTTAGGTTATACATTAGTTTATTTTTAAAAAATTTGATTTTTTTTCGTGGCTCATACATACCAACCTGTTAATGTTTTCTTTAAACAAAAATACTATAAATATTCAAAAATACTTATTTTTATTTATAATAATTATGCCAAACATTAAAGCCAAAGATTGTTAATATATTCAGTATGTTTGAGACAAAAATGTAATTTTACTCAGAAAACCACACCCTCTTTTCTAGACTTGAACTAATTATTTAAAAAAAAAAAAAAAATAGCACTAATATGTCTGTATGAAAAAAGGCTTTTTGGAACTTCTAATAAAGGAGTTATTTTTATGATTCTCTGTCCTGGAAACAAACATTTTCAAATAGGCTTTTAGAATCCACTGTAATTTCTGTAAATTTTATTTAACTTCTTTTAAAGCAACCTGGAACTATAACTAAAAAATTTCATTTAAAATAACCCTTTCCACCCACTATCTAATAAAATAAACTATGAATAAGAAATGCTTATTTACATTATCTTTGCACATTCATGAGCTTCAGATTTTGTTAAACCGGTGAATTGCTTCCCTTATTGTACAAAATTTGTGTATATTTACACCTTGCTTATTTTTTTAAAATTATCACCCCATTTAAATGGTATGGGGAATGCGTGGGAGTTCTCATTATTTTTTTATGTACCCTAATTGTTTGTGAGCAGTGGGTTGAATTCTAATTTTTTACTCTGAGCCTCTCCACTCAATTTACAAAACTACCAGTTTCTCAAGAGTTGGTCTCTGGGTATAATTTCTTGTATTTACCTTAGAGTTCCCTCTAGTGAGAAGGGGATCTTCATTTTCGTATGATTTTTAAAAAACTGGTAATCCCTGGGGTACATCCCAAGAGTATAATAGAAATTATCTAACTGTACAAATGTTCATCATTTTAATTTAAGTACCTACTTTTTACGGCAAATGACAGTTTCTAAAACAGCATTGTCTATGTTCACAAATACTTTGTCACATAAGAGGGAACATTTATTAAGAATCTCTTACTATCAAGGCCACATTTTTTTTTTGGAGTAATAATCATCTTGCCATAATCTGTTCTAAAAATCTTTGTACTGGTAGTAGTGGTAGTGGTAAAAAAGAAGTGACTATCTTGTGAAATAAAATAGATCTAAGCCATAATGTTTTTATTTATTGTTATTTATTTTCTCTTCCTCTTAAGTCTTTCACTTGTGCATTGTTGGTGCAGTGGCTTGCTTTAAGTCATGGATTAAATTTATCCTCCGTGAACAAGAAAATGAGAATGGTAATAAATTTAAGTGGAAATTTTTTAAATTCTTACTTACAAAATAAATACTTTGTCCTAAGTTTGTGACGCGAATTACGCTTCATCAAATAAGGGTGTGGCAACATACAGTACACAACACTTAGTGGTGCCACTGTGCACAACACAATCCTAGGTCCGGTGCTTTACCCTATTTACGTTCAGCCCTTGGGTGCAGTGATCAAGCAGTTTGACATGCTCTATCACATGTTCGCGAATGATACCCAACGTTAGCAATCCGTGACCCCATGTCAGTTCCCTCTGCTTCTTAGTATGACACAGAAGACAGTGGAGTCGGTTAAGCACTGGATGAACATAAACAAGCTCAAATTGAACGATGAAAAGACCGAGCTGATCCCCATTGCTACAGCTCAAAAGCTAAAATCTTTAAATAACACACCACCCCTTTCTCTCTCAGGTATACAGATTGAATTTGCTCAAACAGTGCGAAACCTGAGTGTCTACTTAGACAGAACACTGAGTGTCTACTTAGACAGAACACTGAGTGTCTACTTAGACAGAACACTGAGTGTCTACTTAGACAGAACACTGAGTGTCTACTTAGAACACTGAGTGTCTACTTAGAACACTGAGTGTCTACTTAGACAGAACACTGAGTGTCTACTTAGACAGAACACTGAGTGTCTACTTAGACAGAACACTGAGTGTCTACTTAGACAGAACACTGGGTGTCTACTTAGACAGAACACTGGGTGTCTACTTAACTATGGAAAATCACATTAAGGCGATTTTTCTAGAGCTTTGCAGGATAAGTCACATCAGACCTTTCTTAACGTTAGATTTAGATGCATCAAAGAGGCTGATGTCTGCATTCATGCTATCAAGCATGGACTACTGCAATGCTCTCATGGTGGGTCTTCCAGCTACGCTCCTGGATAAAATTTAAAAAGTACAGAACAATGCGTCTCGCATTGTTTTTCGCAAACGCAAATTTGACCATGCTAAAACACTTCTGAAAGAGTTACATTGGCTGCCAGTCCGCGATCGCTTAGAGTACAAAATTGCAACTCTGTGCTACCGCTGCTTGCATGACCTGGCGCCGTCCTATCTCAAAGCGCTCATGACGCCTTATGTACCCACTAGACAACTCCGCTCATCCGATAGTGGCAAACTCTCGATACAACGTGTTTACCTTGAGACTTACAGAAGGCGCACATTCGCATTTGCTGGCCCAACAATTTTGAACACACTTCCTGTCGCTCTCAGTAGTTTCACCACTTTGCTCCATTACAAAAACATATTGAAAACCAAGCCCCACCAAATACAGGGTTTTCTGTCTTTTAAGGTGTGCTAAAATGATAATCGATCAATGAAATATAGTTATGAACATTAGGTACTTAATTTCTACTCCTAAAACTGGGTGCTGGGTGGCCAGTGATCTAAACTGAGCAAATCTCAAGTTGGTGGTCTGGAGTTTAATTCCGAAAACTCCTGTGACGCCACTGGTGCCAAGCTGTATCATCCACATGATGTTCCCGTGGGTTATCCAGCGGCGTGGAGAGGGGCTATTTGCTGTTGAAAACCAGCTTATAATCCGAGAAGAAGAATCCCAAGGCTTGTGGATTTCATCCTGCGAAGTCTTCACCATCGTCACATTGTGATGGAAGGATGCCAGCAAAAAAATAATAAAACTAAATGCACACGAGAACAAAATACTTGTTATGTAAGGCTTTGGCTCTCTGATGCATTTTCTGCCTGGAAGAGTTTCATCCCATCTCTTTTCAAGAAGGACTTTTAAGGAATCTTTCCATCTACATAATACCTGCGACTTTTATCCTAACATATTTTTATTTTAACAGCTAACTGTAGATTGGATTGAATGGAAGTTGATGGGATCATTTAAATTAATCATGTTGCCAATAAAAAACATCTAATGTCTAAAATGGATGAAAACATCAGACGACAAATTAAAGGAACAAATTCTACTTCTGTATTGCTCGGCAGTGTGATTCTTACGGCACATCATATTTATCTTTGATTTGAATTTATATTACTGGTTACTGTGAAATGAAATTCATTTTGAGGATGGACTGTAACATTTTTGTAATAATCTTTTCTGTTGCTGCATTTTTTTTATTTCCATGTGGGAGATATGTTTCCAACCAGTGTGACAGACATACTGGTGTGTAAGACCTAATACAAAGGGAAAAAAACCCACTAAAAAATTGTTTAATCACTTTTTACCTTCAAAGTGTAGGTTTATTCTAGATAATATGGCACTTTATAATATATTTAATCTAATTTTTGTGTACCTCATAAGGTCTGATAGTTCATTTAGTAATTAGTTATAATGTAGCCTAATGCAAGATGATAAAAAAAAAAGGAGGAAGGCCAAAGATATGTACCAACAAGATGTACATAATTCATTTTCATTTGATAAAATGATTTTTATTTTTGTGGCCCATGAAACGTGTCAAGAGTGATGGTAAAATGTATCAATTTCCTGAAAATTCAACTGTCTAAAAACATCTATAAAACTTTTCTGACAAATATTAATATCCACAAAACTGACAAAAGAACAGCTTATTTGAGATGAAAAATATATGTTTAATATAATAATTGTACAAAGTGAATGTCTATGACATAAAACTGGATCTTTCTGACACTCATACTAAGATATTTCATCTATTTACAATGTCTATGTTATTTAAGCAACAAGATTTCAAAAACGAAATCCTTGTACTAAGTTAAAATTGGGTGAGTTAAATATACAGACTATCTGCAACTCTGCTTACATTTGTGGTGTGGCACAGTTGTGAAACAAAATTTAACGCAATGAAATAATATGGTGAAACAATATAGTTGTATTCAACTTGATATACATTGAAA